TGGCTGCTGGAGATATCAGAATATTTCTAAAAGGTATTAATTATCTTGCGAATATGTTATATACAATCCATCACCACAACCCATACCTACAATAAAGATATTTCTCAACATCTATGTAGATGATTTTGGAACGTTTAGGAATGTATACCATTCCTTAGGCAGCATATATTTACAATTTGGCAATATGCTATTCTCTTTTCAAAAATTACTAAAAAACTACTTTTTAGTTGGTTTAATTCCATTTGGAGCCAGGTTTGATGATTTTATCAAACCTGTGCTTAATGACATAAAACAATTAGAGAATAGGATTATTATAAATACAATATATAGAAGCATTTGGGTTGTAGGTGGACTCAGGTATGTTACTGCAGATCTGCCCCAAGGTAATAACCTTGCGGGTATTAAAAAACATAGAGCTAATCACGGTTGCCAAACTTGCAATGTTCCAAGTAATCAGCTTACTTATTAAAATTATAATACGACAGAGTGAAATCCACGTCAAAGGTGGTTATGTTATTGATACACATCACTATCTAACTCTAATTAAAAATAGATCTGCATAAGAAAGTAATCTAAAAAACGCGAGTTTCACTCTTTTCGTATCCACAAATCTACAAAATCAACGCGGGTTTCACCCTGTCCTATTATAATTATATAGAAAATGCATGTTTTTGAGACCAAACTGCAAAACGATTACTCAATATCGAATATCAAAAAGAGAAAACAAACAAAGAACAGTTGACTACTGAATATAGTTTGACAACATCTCCTGAACCTTTTAATATTCTTATATGGGATCAGCATATGCAGATCCCACAGGATATCTATCATTCGATAGAAGGCAAAGCTAGAACTTTGCTAGATGTGATATTTAATATACTTAATGCTAGCGGTGAGGTGGCTTTCTTAAAGAGCTGGAAAACTATTGAAAACCCTTCTTCTTAGAGCCGATTGCCTAATCCATTAAGGCATCGGTATAGTTTTATGTTTTCAGATATACTAAAACTTACTATATTAATGCCTTTTATACTTTAATGTTTTTTAAAATTTCAGCATATCAAGACTGAAATTTTAAAAAAATAGTAAGGAAGTTTTAGTAAAAAAAAA